GTAAATCGGCCTGAAAAGTCCATGCACAGGCAAACCCAAAGACCCCCTTTTGTAGTACCAATTGTCATCCATTTCCAATTGTTTTTCGTCGAAATCGTTCAAAGCTTGTCCTCCATACACATCCCGCTTATAAACCCGAGAGAGCGGAGGAAACATATCCGGATTAATCGACTGTTGGAGATCGTACATTTCATTCAAATCGAACGGCCCGTCCATTTCGGAGAGAGGAGGAATCGGATTCTGGTAAAAAGGGTAATAGTATTCATCCCCGTTACTTTCGGCCTTTTTGTGGATTAATCCGTTACGAGCCAGCGCAGCAATATTGCGTTTGTCATTCGGCTGATTGTATTGGCCCCTGCCGACGCGGTAACCGTCCCGGGCCAGCGCTTGAATATTCCTCTTCATGGCTGCGTAACTTCGAAGTCTGGCAATGGAAGCCATATTGCGTTTCTCATGGGATTCCTCGTCATCTTGTTCTTGTCTGTCGGTTTCATCATACGGCGAGCGATAAGTAGGCAGCTGACCATTTTTAGCCAATGTTGAAATGCTTCTCTTGAAGCCAGGGGAACCGTTCTTCAAGTACCCATCTCTGGCTAAGGCAGCTATATTTCTTCGTGGAAATGTCGGCCACTGACTGGATGCATCGACCGGCAAGCTTGTTACCTTCAGAATAAAATATAAATTAAAGTCATGATTATTATTAAAATAGGTTTTTGTATTGAGCAAACTTAACTTACTTGTTCAACATAGGTTGACGAAAACGCCAATGCCACAAAAGCCACCAGAATAATGCATCCGCGATGTCTGCCAACGCCGTTGCGTGTTATCCCCATCTAAAAATGCATTTCCTATTTTGAAATTTGTCTCAAACCCTATATTTGCCTAAAATTATTGAGTAGTAGACGGAAGTAAAATTACACGTCATAATAACTTTGGCCCCATAAAGTTGAAATCGGTTATTAAAATACGACGCATCGAGTCCTCAAACATTGCAGTTGCTCGCCATGAATAATAAAAAGGTCGTTCCGAGCGCGATCGGTGCTGAGGCCAATAATGTTCTATCACAACGAAGGACATAAACTTGGCAGATTCAATTATGCTGCGAAGTACTCCACCTGTTTGTTTGCAATAAGGCTGCGGCTTGGAGGATTTCCTTTCTTATATTTATGATATCCGTAATACCTAGATAGTAAGTTCACTGAAGTTGCGGGTACAATTCTGTCTATTAAGAAGTTAATAAATGGCTATTTCTTTGGCTGGTTACTATTATTTGGAAAGTTGGCAATGTTTAACATGTATTTATACCCAGGCTCATAGACGATTATGGTATGTCTTCATAATACATTTAAAGTTACTTATCCGTTCCAGGCTAGTTTTTTAAAATTTTTGATAGACATTACCTAGCTATCGTTATGTGCATGTACATGTACGTACACACACAAGTAAATCTCACTCGCCTTCGTGAGTTGCAAGAACTATACTTACATTACAATTTATGGAATAAAACTTGAACAGTAATACGTAAGCTTACTAACAATTAATTTACTCAAAGCATCGCATAATTTTTACCTTTAAGAACTAGGTACAAGGTAAAGAGACAGCACTAGCTTTTGTTCGTAACTAGGACGTAGAGTCTTACAATACAAAGACTTGTGTACTGCTTGTTGTGAAAACCAAGTTAGGCAAATAATTACGGCTGTTTGAGATACTTTTAGCAGCAGATTAGGTAGTAGGTACTCATTTAAAAAATCCATAGGTTCATCCATAATGTTTAAGTACCTAACATAAAAATAAAACAGCAGATAAATGATACAGGAATAAAACGTATTAATGTTAATTTTATGAAAGTACTACATAACACATCTCTATGCTAATAGTAATAGTTTTAGACAGCAAACGTCCATGACTTAGGGTAAAAATTTTCGTGCTCACCACATTAAAATTGCCCTTAGCGAAATTCGAACCCCCAACCTTAGTACCTAGTCCGAAACGATCGTATCAAATGGCATAAAAAAGGCAAGTGGAAATTTTAATTAAGTAGGTAAAAATAATAATTTGTTACCTCTCCAAATTAATGATTTACAATCAAAACACAACGATTTTTTTGCTATCTCGTTGACAATATTTCAGACAGCACATTTCCTGCCGTCTATTTCAGAATTTCGTATTTCAATTACAATAGCTTTCATTAAACTTTATGATAGTTATCAGCATTTCATATCAACAAAGGGGCAGCCGTCCTATAATGAACTTCTTTTGTTAATAGAGACGGCGTTTTCGCTTCAACACCAATATAACTAAAATATCTTTAAAATTACATAAATGTTGGAGTCACACCAAACTTTTATCATGCGGACAGACGAAAACAAAAAGTTTAGCTGCAAAAAGAATTTGAGTAAATAAGTTTCCTCCAAACTGAGTCTACATTTGCATATTTTTTTTATGCGAAGGATTGAAATTTTATTGTTCTACAACTACATTAATTGCCAATATCATTATGAAATTAACAAAACTAGGTAGCTAGCCTTTAGATATTGTATCACTTGATATTCTCGTGTAATCTTTAGCCTTTACAGTGAGACCTAGTTTTAAGTTTCTTAGAGTACAATGTATTTTAATAAATAAATAAATAAATAAATAAACAACAATTAAGCTAACTGTAGTAATCTTACAAAAAATATAATTTATTATAAAATGTGAGATTCAATCATTTCAGACTTCGTAGTCACCAGCGATGAACACTGGGCCAGATAACCATTTGAATAGATAAAAAAGTTGTAATAAGTAGGTAATACTTAAGGTATAATTGATAAAAGATTAATTTTATTAAGGTGACTAATTTCCTACTTTAAAAGTACGTAAGTCTGATTTTTTTAATTGCAATATTAATTGGCGTTTAAATTACAGGCCCAGACGAATATAAATTCCTTCTACCGGCCAAATAAATCAAGTTTTACTGTTATTATTTAGGTACTTGTGTTCAGAAAGTGTATACGTGATCGCAAAATAACTAATAGCAAAATTTCTAACTTAAAAAAAGTTTTTATGTACTTTTCTAGACATAAAAGTGTGCTTAAAATAGTGTCCGAATGATTTAATGATAACTACTTACAATTATCTACACAAAATTTGGCCACGGTGCACTTTGAAAGTCGGACCCAACTTTTACTCGCGGTTTCTTAGGTTCCGTCGGTCGGGAGATGTTGGCGGGAATGGCTCAAGACCGCCGAGAGTGAGCTTTTATACGGGTCACTGGAACGCGCGCATGCGTACTCAATAAGAACTTAGGGATGCACATTAAGTTATAGATACATGTTAACTATTTCTTGACAGTGAAAACTATGCCAACTACGAGTATAACGCTACGAAAGATAAGTAAGTTGTCAACGCTCTGAGGTGCTACGAAGCTTTCTGTATTACGCCGTAGCAGCTACAACGCTACGGGGACTCCAAGCTTTGGTATGTTTTTTGTTGGAAATAAAGTGCAGTGTTTGATACGAAAGTTAATTGTACATTTATTTTTCAATACTTAATTAAAATTTCTTAGCGATTAGAGTTGCTTCTCAAACTAAATTTTTAAATGAACAACTTGAAAAATGGCCAATACCTACTGGTCTCACGTACCTACAATAATTTAAATTGGAAAGTTAAACTACCGTCATAGTTTTTACCGCTTTGCGTGCTCCGCCTGGAAATCAGTGTACTTAGGTAATTTTTTTTCGAAAGCCAATTTATAAACCAGAACTTACTGATACCAGCTGTAAATTGATATCTGCCCTCAGAGAAGAACAACAAAAAGGTTGAACTGAATAAACAAACATAAAGCGGGATATAGTGATAAATGTGCCATTGAAAATATTTTGTCCCTTAGTTAAAGCCCATAAGGGATTTAATTTACGAGCACATTCATTCTGTAGGTAGGTGCTTTCAGCTTTTTATTCGTCTGAAGCCCTAACAGAAAACATATCCTGCTATTAATATAAGTGTAGGGAACATGAGTGTATAAAAATAGAAATAAACGTGTCTTTGTAAGACATTTTTATTGGAATTGCTGGATCGACGCTAAATACATATCTTACTACGTAACATTTTTTNGAAAATAAAGTTGGTTTCATGGGCTTGTTAAATAATGTGTATGATATTATGAACACGTAAGTGATTATGGTGTAATTGTGTATGAAAGTGTTTGTTTACATCTCTGCTGGATTCTAAAAAATCAAGGTATATGTCACTGTCATGGTTTGACACTTGACTGACACTGACAATTTTTTTTCTGTCGTTTCCACAGGAAAAGGCTAAGGTCAGAGAAAATAGGGCCTAGTTCAGTAGTAACTCGTTAACCTTTTCAGCGCCACGGTCTTCTATGAAAGATAAGTGTTTCTGTGCCCTGCAGCCCTGCACGCCACGTTTTCTATAGAAGACAATTTTATCACAACATATCTTTAATAAAAATACAAAAAAAAATACAATTACGTTACGAGTACTTACGTTACGATGTGCTGCGGCGGGTGGCCCGTAGCGTAGTGACTCGGTGCGCGCTGCGTTGCAATTTATAATTGCTCCGTTGAATACCACACCATACACCAAAATCTCAGCAATTCAGTGCCCCGCACAGATTAGAGAGTATGGTGCCCCGATTTCATCTCTAGTCCACACCCCAGTCATGCTCCAGCTGATGTGCAATTCGGTATCGCGGTAAAGTTCACGCGCAAAGAAGGCGAAATAACGGATTTAAGCGCTTTCCATTAAAAGTCCGAACTTATTTCATTAAAACAGCAAATGTTCGTAAAGTGTTTGAGTAACAGTAGCTTTCTGACAGCTTTAACACAAAGACGTAACCGTTTACGTTACAACTTCGTTTGAACTAGCTGTCAAAATAGTCGTCCAGTCGCATTGCAATTTGCAGTTGCAAATATTTATCGCAATCGGGGCGCAGGATATGAACAAAATGGCAGTAGGTACTTATTTCAAACACTTAATAAAAAACTAGCTATGTGTGTGTTTTATCTCTTTAATACTGTTCAACGCGTGTGTTCCTCTAATAACATAGAATGCGGCAAGTTCGACTGTTTATTTGAACCAAATATAAACATAAAAAAATAATATCATAATTTCCAACCGGTCCACCACTATGACCGTACTAGGCGCTGCGCCTGAGCCGCACGCCGCATCGCATCGTGGCTTTATGGGGGTAATATTGCTTTTGCTGGGAGTGGGTTTACTTACCACAATAAAGTTATAAGTTGTGGGCAAGGAAAAGTTAAGTAATATCATTTGAAGTTCTAAATATAAATTGTTTATTAATCATACCTTAATTTTAACCATTTATTCAATGCCAATATAAATACCTTTAATTTACGTATTAAAGGAAGAATTATAAATTATATTAAAGGTCGCGGATTTAAGAGTTGGGGCGATAAAAACGAGCAAAGTGCGAGCGACTTAATTTATACCTGCCTACCGATTCCGATTAGTCAATAATACCAACATAATAATTAAGGTAAAAGGACTACATTTTATACGATAATCTTAAATTAATAAAATATTTCGAATTTAACATTATTTTCTTGTAGTTTAGCTACAAGACTTGTCTTCCAAAAAGCAGCGCCCGACGTAAAGACTCCTCCTCTGGAAGAAAAATATAATCTATATATATAAAAATGAAACCCGTTTCGCGTTGTCACGGCATCACGTGTGAACGGCTGAACCGATTTCGATAATTCTTTTTTTTAAATGTTTGTGGAAGTCCAAGGATGGTTCTTACGGAAAAAAATATTAAGAAAATCTCTACGCTAAGGCGGTACGAAGTTCGCCGGGTCAGCTAGTTTTTACTAAATCCAGTCAAGAATTCGAAAAACTAGTTCAACGAAACTTCAACCCATTTACGAGTTTAGCTATGTACTGTTTGGATTTAATTTTAATCACATTACATTAATAGGGGGCTTAGCGCCTGGTGGGGTGGATCTGGGTTGGGGGTGAGGCACACTTAGGTTTAGGCATGCATTCGTTGCACTTTGAAAATGCGAAAGTTTGGATCTACTTACTTAATAAGTAATCTGTGGTTTGGATGTCGTCTGGATGTCTGGATGGATGTTTGTTACTCTTTCACGCAAAAACTACTGAACGGATTTTGATGAAACTTTACAGTATTATTGTTTGTTTATAACTAACCCAGAATAACATAGGAAATTATATTTCGTCGCTCCATTCTTCAGATATAATATTACCTGGTAGTTCCCCTAGCCTACATGGCAACGACGCACTTAAATTTTTAGAGATAAGTCGAATTTTTTCGACAGACAACAGTAGTTTTTTCGATTTTAGACTGGCAACACTAAGTAATAGTCTACCTTCACTCACTCACTCGCTCTGCTACCTCATTCCTTTAAAGTGCGTGGCAACGAACGGACGTTCTCTCTAAAGTGCTAAATAAGTATTATTGTAGGAAAAATAGTTAAAAAACAATTAGGTATGTCTAAACGCAGTGCCGAAGAAAAAATTGAAAAATATCTCAAAAAGATTGAGAAGTTGCAGAAGAAACGAAGGTTAACATGCCTTGCCGCATCGGATTCGGAACCAGAAAATAGTAAGTACCTACTATCCTACCCACATTTTTTTGTGTGTTACAAAAGTGGTGAAATTAATTATTCAATTATATTAATCCAGTTCTATTATTAAAGAAAAAATACCGGGAGGTTGCCCGAGATGGTAACACGATGGTTAATATTATCTATAATAATAATTTAGGCCATACTTATGCCTGGAGGTTGACCGCGATGTTAACACAATGGCAAAAAACTAGTTTGATTCAATGATACGGGAATGATACCGGGAGGTTGTTCGTGATAACAACACGAAGGCTTAGCATCATCACGATAAACATATTCTAAAATTAGAATTATGTAAATAGTGATAAAATTAACCAAGTCATGTCTTGTCTACAGACGCTGACATCGTTAACCCCGAGGAAATCGAGGGGCATCCTCCAGAAGAAGACGATGCATCATCGGTCGAGGAGTTGGTGGATGTTTGCGCTCCTGAAGTACCTGCAGATATCCCCAACACCGAGGAAACCGTCGAACTGCCTAATGTAGCGGAACCAGCCTCTGCGCCCAGCGCAGAAGAGCCACCCCCGATCACCCCAGAGTTAGATCCCAATATATTAGCGGCCCTAGGGGNTAATATTACTAATAATAGTCAAATTCTTAACTGGATTAGATACGGTATTGACATTCCATTCGAAAAAGATTTTTGTCAAACCGATTTTGTTAGCCCTACTTTTAGTGCACAAGAAAAATGTGATATGGTACTCGCTATTCAAAAACTTTTAGACTTGGGTGCCGTATCCATATGTAAGCCCGATGTCGATCAGTACATCTCAAAGATATTCTTAGCACCGAAACCCAACGGCGATAAGCGGTTTATTCTAAACCTTAAATCTTTAAACCGATATATAACCAAATCACATTTTAAGATGGAAGACCATAGAACAGTTGCAAAATTAATTTCGAAAGATTGCTTTTTAGCTACAATCGACCTTAAAGAGGCATATTTATTAGTACCTGTAAATATGAGTTTCTGAAAATATTTACGTTTTCAGTTCGAAAATCCTAAATGAAATTTGACTACGTACGAATTTAACGCAATGCCCTATGGTCTTTGCATAGCACCTAGAATTTTTACTAAAATCATGAAAGAAATAGTAAAATTTCTTAGGAATCAAGGTTTTCAATCCGTCATCTACCTTGATGACATACTTTGTATCGGTTGCGATTATAATGAGTGTCTAAATAATGTAAAGAAGACCCTGCAATTACTAACTGACCTCGGATTCATAATCAATACCGACAAAAGCTGTTTAGAACCTAAACATACTCGGGTAAAATTTCTGAAATGATGAAATTCCTGTAAAAATACTCGGGTGCATGGAGCATGGAAAACGAATGAAATATCATTACATAAAATATAAATTACTTAGAGTTGTTAGCAATTTACTTGGCATTAAAAACCATTGCTCGAAACGTAACAAATTGTGCAAATGTGCAATCTTATTGCGTATCGACAATACTACAGCTCTTAGCTATATTAACCGAATGGGAGGCATAAAGTTTTGCGTCAAGGTCTAATGCGGTTGTGCAAGAAGTCAAAAGAGATATTATTATTATTATTATAAAACTTTATTGCACAATAAAATAGTACAAAAGGTGGACTTAATGCTATTTAAGCATTCTCAGCCAGTCGACCCCTGGGTTATGCAGAAAGCTGTGTGTGCGAAGGTAGAGGTAGAAGGGTAGAAGTTAAAATTGAAGTTAAATTTTTAATTGATATAATATTTAAGATACATATACCCACATACATACAAACATATACATACATATATACAGATACATACAAACATATAATATAAATAAATATAATACCATATAATATGTGATAAATAAATAAACAATATTACGCAATCATGTGGAAAGGTGTTTACGTACTCTCATTTTAAATGATGTCCTCGTTTCCGACTCTCTGACATCTTGTGGCAACGAGTTCCAAAGGCGAGTAGCCTGCACTGTAAAGGACTTCGAGAAGAAGGCAGAGTGGTGGACAGGTGTCACAAGCCGAAGGTTTCCGGAAGAACGGAGAGTTCGGTCATGCGATTGGTGCAGATATGTAAACTTTTCTTTAAGGTAGGAAGGAGAGGTGGGATTAGAGAGAACGGCGAAAAGAATGCCAAGAAGTCTAGAGTTCCTACGCTGACGAATGGGAAGCCAATTGAGTTGGGATCTATAACTCGAGATATGATCAAATTTCCGGAGGCCGAAAATGAATCTAATGCAACCATTGAGAAGACGATCAAGTTTGTCAGTGAGAATATGCATTACACACCATTGTTTAGTCCTAACAAAATCATTTCTCTAAAGGTCTACCAGGTAATATTATATCTGAAGAATGGAGCGACGAAATATAATATGTGATCAAATGAACTTCAAAGTGAAGTTCGATCATTATTATATGAGTCGCTCCATTCGAAGATATAACAACCCAGCCCACCCTACCCAATTTAATGATTTTGTTAAGAACTTAATGCAATCTCTAAAAATGAATGAGGTAGCAGAGCGAGTGAGTGAGTGAAGGTAGACTATTACTTAGTGTTGCCAGTCTAAAATCGAAAAAACTACTGTTGTCTGTCGAAAAAATTCGACTTATCTCTAAAAATTTAAGTGCGTCGTTGCCATGTAGGCTAGGGGAACTACCAGGTAATATTATATCTTCGAATGGAGCGACTCATATAATAATGATCGAACTTCACTTTGAAGTTCATTTGATCACATATAATTTATGACGATATTTTATGTGACAAACTAAATTTCACGCGAGTGAATGCTAGTGCAAAATATATTTATTTTCATCAGAATTTCAAGCTTATCTTACGTTGATGGCATTTTGTGTTTTTCTTTGAGAATAGCAATGGCTGATTGCACGAGTGCCAAGGACGTGAATCCATAAGCAGGGTCCATGGCGGAAACCTGAAAAGTTTGAAATTCGTAATTTCCAATTCTACCATAAGTAACTAGTCCTACATTTGAGCATACTAAAATAATATTTTTTTTAAGCAGAACAATCGCAATCACCTACACATGAAGACTAAGTTTAGTACCTAATAATTAAAAAAAGACGAGTAATTTAGTACCTAATAACTAAAGTACTTAAATATTATCAAGACCTTAGCTATAACTGTTTTCTTTGGTTCAGAAGCTTCAGTATCTTGTCCCATATCCCAGCCACGTCCAAACATTTCAAAAGTGAAACACGTGTTGTCCATAACTGTTTGTGTTGGTCCTTGTTTTGACACCAGCCCCAGGGAGAACCACTCCGGTTTGTTTAAAAGCAAAGCTCTTCCATACTTGAATTTGGAGAGGATGCCGACAAACATGGTGATTATACCAAGAAGAAAAACATATGAGATACTAGGGAGAACAATGTAAGGTTGAAATTGTACAGGCCGTTTGTTATTGGTTTCTAAGAGGCGATGCTGCGTGCGTTTCACGATAGACCCATCAGGGCTTACGAGAGGAACTGCCCATTTTCCATTTTGCTTATGAATATATCTGAAGAAGAAATATAATGATTTTTTTAGTAAAAGTATTTTCTTAATAATTAAGTACTTAGGTAATAATTAATTACCCTAACTTACCGCTGTTTCAGTTTTGGCTTATAGGTGGATTCGTTTTTTGGATATAGTTTACTTCTCAGTTTCAAAATCTCAGTGAAATTGGCGAATCTGCAATCATTTCATGTAACTGCTCATTATTTGTAAATTTTATAATTAGCATTTTAATTAGTAAAAAGTAAAAGAGTGTATTTCTTAATGATAACAAATGTACAGTTTAAAGTCTAGCCGTCTCTGCACTAAGCGTACGTGCTTGTATCGCAGTAGCCAGAATACAGACAATTTTTTCACGAGACAAATGCGAACGATACTTTTTCGAGGTGTAGGCTTACCTAATCATAAAACTTACACATAAACCAAAGATTCCCATGTTCCAAAGTTAAGAACACCACTTTTACGCGCCTCCTTTTGGTATTCCTTGACGGTGCTGAGTGATAAGTACGATTCTACTGAGTGTAGAGTGCCTGAAAATAAACAAATAAATCTAGATCTCAGCTGCAGCACAATATCCTATAGTAACTATATCAGGTATTATTACCATACCTTGGAAATTCTTCTCCAAGAAAATCACCCCCATATCATTTGGGATGCTGTCAAAACCGCATGCACTAATTACGTAAATACCAGCTTGGCGAGCCTCATTGTCATATTTTATCTGCATTGTTCCCATAAACTGAAAACATAACAAAATGTCCCTGTATAAATTGTAAAAAAACAGGGTTTACCCCGTACGTAGGTAGTGTGGGAGACTATGCCTGTTTTCACCATCAATCCATAATTTTTAGTAAACAAAATTCCTGTTATGTGTTACCATAGGGGTCACTTAATAATTGTAATTAGGGATTGATGGTTAAAACAAGCATTATTCTCGGAAATAAAGGAATGATAATATCAGACTTAGTTTTAGAAGCGTTCATGTGTAAGCCGATTTTTATACTTTCATAGTTCACACTTTGCAACATGTCAAACAGTCCTAGGAAAACAATAAAAATAGAGGAAAAACCTATAGAATATGTAGATGACTATGTATACCTAGGCAAATTGGTGTCATTCGATACAAACAGCAACGAAAACGTANTGATCACATATTGTAATTGCCTCGCTCTATATTACATGGTTTCATTATCAATATGTGGATTACGTAGTGGGATGTGTTACCACATAAATAATACATAAGTCTAGTAGATAAGTTAATTTTTGTAACACATTTGTTTGTAATTCCTAAAAAAAAAAAAAAATATTATTGTTACGTGGTAGGTATATCTGGAGATGGTACTATAATATGGGATATGGCAATGTAAATATACCTTTGTTCCAACTAGCTTGATTGGCAACTGTTTATACAGACAATGCAGGGACACGCTCAGTTATTAATGCCCAATACACGACACACGACGCGGCCACGGACGGCTCGTCGTTGACAGTCGAAACAGGCACGAAGGGGTACAGAAGCACCATATTAACCCCACTAAAGCCACTATTTGGAGTGCTTTTTATCTATTGATCATTTAACTGTGTTATCATACATATCAACCAGGCTGTTAGCGGGCGCAGTTAAAATTAATATAAGCACTAAATAACGTCGTGGCAGGCATAATAGTACGCAGAACTAACGGCCCATTGGCCGTTGTTGCCCCACTGGGCAACAAAGCTCTGGAGTGGAGACCACGTACCAGAAAATGCAGCGTGGAACGTCCACCCACAAGGTGACCGACCGACGACCACATAAAGGTAGCGGGAAAGCGCTGGAATCAGGCTGCTAGCAACCGGGTGATGTGGAAATCATTGGCGGAGGCCTTTGTTCAGCTGTGGACGTCCTGTGGCTGAAATGATGATAAAAATTAAATAATGTCGTAATGTAAGCGAATAAGAGGCTACTAACAAGTTGTATATTTTATTTTTTACTTTTACGGTTTTAACGGTTACACAGATGTGTACTAGGACAAAACCAACTTCACCCGCTTTGATTGTGTTCCTAATCCGTTTGGCTATTACGGAAATTGCTCCTGGTAAGCCTGCGACAGCCTCCGATTGTGTGCAGTATTTGGCTGTGTGAAGGCATCACTTGAAGGCAGATTATGTATTTTTTTATATCATTGAACTTCAATCAAATTTTGCGTGTATTGCTACATGCTTGATACACTTGCACACACTCGTGGCAATGATTTTATAGTCTTAAAAAACAAGTTAGTGAAGTGTTTTGGAAAATGTTAAGTTTTATCGAAACAAAAAAAAAATATCTGCTGAGCCATCATATTAAGAATGTCTAGGTAAAATAGTTGGGAATAGGATTAGAATTAGGGTTTCTGATTTCTCGACTTATTTTTTTTCTCGAGTTTCGAGAATTCTCGAGGCCAAAGTCTCGAGTTTTCTCGGGTCTCGTCTTTTAATGAAAACTGCTGAAATCGGTTGAAATTTATTAAAAACACAGGTTTTTTTATCTAATATACCTACTTACTTTTATGCACAACAATCAATATTAGAATTTAGTACCACTTATTATATTTTGGTAAAGAAAGAAACAAAAAATTAAATCTTCTTTCATCATTAACATTTACTCAGCGTCGGACTGGCCATACAGTCGGGGTGGCATTTGCCAGCCGGGCCCCAGCCTGCGCGGGCCCCCCACGGCCTGGGTTGCGGGGCATGCGGCAACCGTAGCACAGGGGCCGAAACTATGCGTCGTACAAAAAAATTGTACANCAAACTGTTAAAATGTGGAATATAAAGCTATAATAATAAAATAATAATAATATCAGACTTGTGTTAAACATTGCAGGTAGGTAAGTAGGTACTTATTCATTCATTCTAATTAGAACCTCATTATGTAATTAAGTTGCTATTTTATTCATAGCTAAAAATGTCAATTTTTTAATGAGTTACAGAACTTACAGACATTCAGACATAGGTAGGTACGGTAGGTACCATGATTGATAGCGTAACTTGGTATCTACCTTACTTAAACATAATTGCATGTTGACTGAGAGGGGTCAACATCAAGGTGATTTTTTTCTCTGATTAAGTACAGAGATGATGATATTCAATAGTTTAACACCTTTGCTGCGGCAGTAACTTTCTAATACTTTCCATTCCTTCGGTACAAGGTCAGTAAACCTGGTATTAAAACTTACATTGTGGCGGCACAAGGCTTAAAGACCTTGTAATATTCAAGATATATTAATTTTATTTTTTGCTTCATGTTAATAGATATTGCGGTTTTTTTCATTGAATATTAATAATAATGCATTTATTGACATACACCTGAAGGCGTTCGTGAATAACTTGTTTAGTATAAAAATTATAGCTATATTCAAAATACAAGGCTTATGCACCCTGTGCCGCACTGAAGTAGGGAAGTNGAGGTGAGCCCAAAGTGAGGTCTTTTTTTAATAAATAAATAATAAATAAATCTTTGGACAATTTCACACAGCGCCAGCTAGCCCCAAAGTAAGCAACTTAATGCTTGTGTTATGGGTGCTAGCTTAACGGATATACTACTTATATACTTTTTTTTTAAATACATACATATTATACATAGTCACACCCAGACCCGTCACAGAAATTAAAATTCATCATTTCAATTTCTGCCCGGCCGGGAATCGAACCCGGGACCTCTCGGCATAGTAGTCCGTTCTGAACCACTACACCAAACGGCCGACTAAGTTTTTTCAAGTCACATTTATTGTATTTATGTTAATCGTTTATTAAGAAATTAAATGTGTTTTTCTTTAAGGATATTTATTGGGCTTTCAAATAACACCAATATTGTTGGGGCACAATGATTGTGTCAGTAGAAACGAGTTTTCCTGTAAAACGTAGGTGGGCCGATTTTTGTGATGACCAGTATAGTTTTTTTTTATGAACAAAAAAAACTTTTAAATAAATTTTTAAATTTCTCACAGATAACGACTTGAATAAACTTTACGAGGAGGCACGAGTTTAACAAATTTTTCAGTTTATATCAGTCAGCAGAGTTAAACATACATAATACGTTATATATCATACTCGTTGTTGAATATTATTACTTAGTTTCGATTGAGATCATTACTTGCAAATCAAATCAGTTAAAAAAGGAAAGAAAGGCCAGTCTAAAAGCAACGTTGACCTATCAAATAATTAAAAACTTTCTTTCGTCTAAGAAAATAGGCTTTCAAGAATATTAAAGCTTCAAAATCGAAACTCGAGAATTCTCGAGCTCCGGTAATTTTTTTCTCGTCTCGAATGTAGCCAAATTTCTCGAGTTTTCTCGAGTTCGAGAAAGCTCGAGCAGAAACCCTAATTAGAATAGAATTTAATTTATTGCTTTTTCTGTGTTCAGTTTGCAGGTGTTCATTAGGCATAAAATTCGTAACAACAGAGCTCATTGAGCATGCAATGTGTCTCTGTAGTAATTGATTCTATTTAAAAAAAATAAAATGTAAAATTTTTGTCACATAAAAGCACCCTACAATAGTAATATTGGTAAGAAAAGACGCAGCAACAAACTCAGACGTAAACTCGTTTTACTTCCTTCACCCTCCGCGACATATTTTTTCGTAAATCTTTCTGTACTTACGTTGCATGAGTTATGTTACACCAAATGTCGTTTCAGCCGTTACATATTAGAATTAATAACACATCCTATTATTGTAAAGTTGCCAAAAACTCGTGTAAATCATCCGTTTACAAGCTCCAGGGAAGTTTTTCCAACTTTTTACGGTACGTATAATAATTCAAGATGTGCGTCAAAGTTTTTATAGACGTACAAATATTAGATTGCGCTATCGAAATTTCGACAACAGATTATGGGTCCAGTAGCCTCACTGCCAAAACGTCACTATTTCCAGGATTAAAATCAAGCATGTCACCGGTTTTTACGTGACACAACATTTGAAGCCTCGAAATATCTATCTGTTCCGTAATCAAAATTAAATGTTGAGTGTACAGTCAAAATAATGTTCAATTAATTAGAACATCCAATCAAAACCATTCATTTTTAAACTAGGCTTGATAGTTTGTATAAGTTAATGGCGTTAGTGTATAAGAAAACAAGCAATATTATCTGTAAATATCCTTTATTAATAATGCACTCTTTGCTTACTTCGAGAGTTGAATACGCTGTGTTTAAATTACAGGTTAGTTTCGTATAATAATAAGGCAGTCAAGCTTTGGTCTAAAGCGAGACTTCTCTAAGTATCTCTATTAGAATGTACATGCATGAGTTATAGTTGTATTTGCGGCGGGAGACGTCAATATGTTTCCCGGATAAAGGAAGCGTTGCCTAATGTTAGTTATGAGGTTTTGAACTTGACGTGTTACACTCCCTGTGCGGAAGAATCACTGTTATTTTATTCAGATCTGTAACTACGACAGTTACTGTACTTTTCAGGTTCTTATTTGTGTTTTCTTGGGCCTTTAGAATATAACAAACGCCCATGATAGCTAATCATTCACGTCTGATAACAGAATAAAAGTAAGAAATAATTATTTCTAGGACAACTGGACTAACTCGTAATGTTTAATAATGTTTCACTGAAAAGCAGTCTTTCAGACTGACAATATTCTGCTCCTGTGATCTGCTAACTAATAATATTCGTAAAACAAAAGAGAAACTAAGATACGCTGTACTAGTAAAATTAACCAAATAACATTTTTCGTGAGTAAAATTAATGCAGCTCCCTTATGAAACATTGCGAATTTTGTACAACCTTTCAAGCAAATAAGTCTAGAAAACTAATATTTGCAAAGGTTTGTTTGAGTCGTTAGCGTCAACTACACGAAACGGCCAGACCGTAGAAAATCATAACTCAGCAAAACCTAAAAACAATAATAAAAATGGCGGTCGCCGATAAACAAGGTGCGGGCGCTGACTGGCGGAATTTCAAATTTTATATTGCTCGTAAAAGAAGCTTACATTTGAGGTGGATTCGCTTAACTTGCAGTATATCGTGTGCGGATCGGCTAGACAAGAAAAATGTGTAAATTTAAATTTACCGTTTTATATTTACAGGTGATACAGGTGAAAATAAACTGATTTCAAATTAGCTAACATTTTGATTACAAATTAATATGACTTAGTGTTAGATTTTTGGAAGCAATAGATTGATCCTTAATGAACTAACATAGTACAATTATAGTAATTAAAATGTAGTGAAAAATTATGTTGTTTATCAATCCATTAAAAGAGTAGGTACTTAGGTAGCTGAGCAAATCCACATTTTGTTGAAACTTTAAAAAAAAAAAACTTAACCTATTTCTTTAAACTCAACTACTTTAAGAGCTAAAACTACCTTTGAAAATTCTTGTGATATTAAAGTTCACTTCAAAGTTCAAATTATTAAATACTTGACTTACATTGTTCTTCGACTTGGCACGAAGCTAATGAAAGCAACCTTCCATGTTTTATTATCCACTTAACTGCGGCCGGGTTTAGAGGCGAGCCATCAGGCTTTTGAGCGACTGACAAATACGCTCTTATC